TGCAACAGCTAGCTTTTGATATTCTATACATTTGATTGTATTATTTATCTTCTATTTTTAGTTATCTAGTGGTTTCCCAAGAAGTCAAAATTCTGCATAGTTAGGTAAGCTAGTATAGTAATTGTTCGAATTAGAACAAACATCTCTGCTTTGACACCCCATATATTAACGAGTATATATTCCAATTTAAAACGAAACAGTATAGTATACAACAAATTAGGATCTTATAGACACTCTGCACTCCATACAGTAACTATACTTCCAGAAGAGTTTCGCATATGAAATTTGCGAGTGGGAATTCTATACATTTATTATAGATCTAACCAGGAGAAGTTTCAAAAAATGCAACTGCATGTTACGAATCTGCGACCTTGCGATTCCGGCGCCTTATAGTTATCGGGTGCATATGCCCAAATCCTGCATGATAAGTGAATTAAATTATATATAGCTAAGCCATTTTAACTCATCCAACCTCCTTCGTTTTGTTCATCTTAAATTTTTCACCCTCTATTCTCATTTAATTGACAACCAAGAGTTTAAATGACAGCTTTTTGGGCCGTTTTCAAGATCTTCAAAATCTGCATGGCGCATTGTATATATATGCGTGTATCGTCACTATAGCTATTATGGCGGTCGTCAGAAAACCAAAAACATCTCATGGAAAACTTGTTCTACATACACAATTGCCATATGTCGATTCTTTTTAACAAGCGTACCTCGTTAGTTTAAAATTAGGTTGTTTTTCCTGCGGAATTTGAATATTCCAAAATATTCCAAAACAATTGTTATTATGGCGCCAAGCGCAGCTAATGATGCCTACTAAACAGAGGAACATTAACCAATTGCGCAAAGTAGTATATAAGCAGTTGTTTCTTGATCATTTTCAGTTATTTATTGTTTTCCTGGTTAATGATCACATCACACTGAAGTCCGTTCGACCAGTACTACATTTAGGAAGTTAATGAAAGAGCTCAGTTAGTCTTTGAAACTCATTGCAAACTGGTAAATAATCTGTTCTTTGCATGCGTCTTTTCAAGTAATGGCAATAATCATCGTAAAAATACTATAGGCAATTCATGCACAATGACAAATGTTTTCAGCGTGCTGATGGCGTGTCAATCATCCCTAAATCCGAAATAATTCCACATTTAGCAATAATACATGCAGCGGAGCATTTTAGTGTACAGGAAAGTATAAGAACACAACCATGCCATTCTTTCCTCCGCAGAGGCTTACATGAAGTTTCTAATAAGGGGAAAATGAGCGCATGCAGGGAGAATTGGAAAGAGCGAAATAGATGAAGCATCTGCTAGTTAAAATGCGACTCACCCCAAATATGATTTTAGGTATGTGTAATATTTGGGTCATTCGAAAAAGAAATGCAAATTTAACAATTATCTGCCGAAGGCGAGGTGATTATCGGGAAATATTCGCCGAGACGAAGTCGAGGTGAATATTCCCCGCTAATCACCGAGCCTGAGGCGAATAATTGTTTTAGCATTTTTATACAAGTCTTTTGTGTTTTTTGGGACTGAATTTATTTTAATTTCGCTTATTTCCGTTTATCAGTTTCTTCCACAAAACGGCTAGCCGCCATTTTGAAAATTTCGGTTTTGTTTATATTCACCTGCAGGTGAATATAACAGCTTAATACGTCAAATTTCACCAATCAACTTGTAGGATTTGTTATGTGCACTTGTGCAAAAATACTAAATATTTATAATAAAAAATTCCATCTTTATCAACTTTTTCACCGTCAAAGTTTCCGGATATGATGTGATATTAGGTGAATTGCAAATTAGTTTTCCTTTGTTTTTTTTGTACCAAACATTCACCTAATGACATCATATCCGGAAAATTTGACAGTGAAAAAGTTGACCAAGATGAGGTTTTTTACTATAAAGGTACATTACATTTCATCTTAGAATGACCCAAATATTACATAAACCAAAAATCATATTTGGGATTAGTCGCACTTTAATGTAATTAATATGGCGGTCAAATTCCGTGAGATTGCATGGTCACAATATCCATGCACAATGTTAAAATCTCGAATGGATTTGTATTCAAATTGAGTTCTATCCACAGATTTTCGTTAATATTGTTCCAGTTTGTTAGAATAATGTCAATGTCGAATTTGTTATTTGGACGAGAGAAACAACATCGTATGGGCACTTTACTTTTGCAACCTCGTTCCCAGGGCCTTTTTGAAAATGCCATCCCCGCATTTTCAAAAAAGGCTCTGGGAACGAGGTTGTTATTTTTGGTCAATTTATTATTTTCTGATTGAAAATGATTTTTATGAGAAACAAAAGGTTTTATCAATGAACGCAAATCCCCAATTATTCTAATGGAAGTAACCGTAGGAATATTATAAATACAGTCGTGCAAAACACGAAATTTGGAATGTGTGATTATACTAGTGCTTGCAGCTGCTTTGAAATACAATCAAGCCAAGTAGTACTGTATATAAGCAGTCCTTTCTAAACGGTTTTTAGTTCTTGCATCTTTACTGTGACAGCTGAGTCAAAACTCAGCACACAACATGCATTACACCAAAACCGTATAACGCTCGTTTTAATGCATCAAAGATCAGAATACAGTCATAACCATGACATGTGCTATGTATGTATAAGACACAAGAAATCTCCTTTTAAATAAAATATTTATTATATAGACAACTGAAAAGGCGATAAAGCGTGAACGCGCAAGACAATGGCGAATTTTGGTCAAATTATCTCTATCTTTCTGTTACTGCTGTACACACAGACATGTAGCTCTCAGCAATCAAGTGCTTGGTTCAAATTGGCCGTGTCAGGTATATGTTTAGCGTGTATCAAAAACAACTAATTCGAGTACCGAGTTTAGATAGATTTCCTTTTTTATCAAGGATAGCGAATAAGATAAAGTCTTTAGCTGTCAAATGATAGTCAATGGTATCATCACTTTTGGTCATCACATGCATATTGACACTGAAATATCAAAGAAAATTGCGTCGCTATTGGCACTTTAAAACTTGTTAGATGTTATAATTACTGCAGGGGCGAAACTTGAGGGGGATATGGAGGGGGGGGGGGTGCAACACCCCCCAAAGTACGAATTATCTGGATTGGCAGGGCGAATCATCTGGATTGGCAGGGAAATCAAAGATTTTAAATGATAGAATGTAGAGTTATTAAGTAACTTACAGGGCTTCCAGAGGAAATTTCAATAAAATTTATAGACCTAAATTTTACAGATATTGGTCCAAAAATAAGGGTTTCACGCATGTTTTAACAGGAATTTGTACGGAAAAAATTGTTTGACCCTTAATTGAACTGGTTTATGTCCGGAAACATTTTTTTGACCCTTTTTTTAAATGTCCGGAAAAATCCCCCTCGCCAACATTTTTGGGAAAAGTAGTGGCCAAAAAAAATTGCTGCAGGGCATCATCGGCCTTTGCAGGGCAATTCTAGCGGACACCCCCCTAATTAAAAGGGGCTAGTTTCGCCCCTGAAGTACGTACTGAGCTTTGATTCAACCTCATTTTGACTGTTGTTCGCGCTCGGCCGTCTGCAATGGTCTTGGTCAAACAATTAGTATAGTTATGAACTGATACGGAAATCGCAGAACCGACCGGTATGGGTCATTATGCATGAGGGGTACTATAGTTATAGATACCAGTGCCGATAATAATCTAAGAATAAAAATACTGAAATAAATAAAAGTTCCTGAAAATATCAACAACTGGTTTACAAGATTGGCGTCAGTCGAGAGTCAAATTCAGTGTTATAATGCATTAATGCTCATCTATACTGTATATAGCTTTCCTAGATTGTGATAATGAATACAGCTTTCCGATATATTTCTTAAAAAGCACTGTTCCGCAATAGCTTGGCTTGGGCAAGTTTATTCTTATTTCAGAGTTCTATATTGTAGCCAGTGCTCCAAATAGAAAATAACTCTTGCAGACACGAAAGTATATTTCCCTTCAGTGTTTTTTAAAGCTTTAGCCAGCCTTGAACTTTTTACAACGCAAGTATAGAGATTATTTCATCGCATTCATATCAAGAAGTTATCATATCTGCATACAACCTCGTAGTCGTATACCCAAGATCTTTAGAGACCCTGGGAACGAGGTTGATCTGCATACTGAGGGTTTTACCTTCCGCGTGTTTAAATAAATATGTAATGACTATATAATGTATTGTGCTGAACAAAACAAAAAATTCCGGCCGGGGCTAATTTTTAAATTAAATAAGACCTTATTAAATGACAACATGCGTCTGTTGTGGAGAAGATAACCTGCATGCCTATATATACTAGGAATTCTCTTTAAAAATCTCTTTTTAGTACTAATAGTAATATCGATTTAATATAAATAATAAAAATTTGAAACTTCTGTTAATTAGCTAACATAAAAATAAATACAAAATATATAGAGGCAGTTTTTTGGAACACTGACTTTGTATATATAATATAGTCTATATAGATTCCGAAAACTCTTTCTCTTCGCGAAATTCAATAGTCCAATACAAAGAGCGCATATACTATATATACCGGGTGGCGCAAAAAAAAGTACAACTGTTTGATTACTTGTAACTCAGAAACAATAAGCAGTAGAACCATAAATCGAGTTTAATTGCATCCAGCGATATCTAACTTAAATTTTGGTATATTTGACAGGCATATTCGTCCAAGATTAACTGAGATATAAGAGTTTAAACTTTTGTTAACAATTTTGAAACGGTCACAAATTAGCTAAAAATCAGTTTAATAGGCCGTTTTTAGCTAATTTGTGACCGTTTCAAATTTGCTAACAAAAGTTTAAACACTAATATATATATATGTGATATTTTCATTGAATTCTGGCAGGTCATCGCTTAACTGGTCATGTAATCAGTGAACTTAATACTTATCTCGTGGAATGCTGTCTATACTGTCTCAGAAAATCTTCTGACTGTAAATCAATCAACTTCAAAGCAACAAAACATCAAACTCATTCGAAAAACTGTCTACTCATGAACGCTACGAAAACAACTCATCCTCAGAATTTACTGGCTGATAAAAACTACGATAATTATGAACTTTTTGCTCTGAAAAAGGTATTTTTTATAGATTTCCAGTGAACATTGAGAAATAAGTATTACCATTACCAAGACCCCGTTTTTACTAGAGCGAAAGTTTTTGGATTCATCACGAAATCGAAACGTTTTAGTACCGGATTCATGTTGCCGTTTACACACGCAGCGACGAATCCGATAGTAAATCTTGTTGGTTTCGTGCCGAGTCCGGAAACTTTGAAACCGGAAAAGTTTGTGGGAACTTCGTATCCGGAAACATTCGAATCCAGAGAAAACTCTCGTGTAAACGGTTTTCCGTAAAGAATCCGAATCAATTTGTTCCGGTGTATGGTCAAAACATCGCATAATATCACTAAGAGGGTTAAAACCATACTTTATATTGGCCATGGCTGTGTCAGGCTGTGTAGTGTATAAACGCCTCACGGATCCGTATACTTACGAAAGACAATTATGAATCTGTGTAAACGTTATATTACCTGATATAACATATACAACATCTCAAAAACAAAATTTGTTTTTCATTTCACTTTTTTGCAGAAAATAGAAAAACAAACACCGGTAAAACATGATGGTAAGATGACTTGAACCAACTTTATCTTAACAAACATGTACAGAGTAATTGTGTGAGGTCAGGTTAAGGTTATAGGTTGAGGTCTGGTTAGGTTAAGTTCAGGTGAGGTTGAGGTTAGGTTAGTTAAGTTAGGTTAAGGTTTGGTTGAGGTTAGGTTAAGGTTAATAAGTTGAGGTAAGCTTGAAGTTAGGTTGAGATACGTAATGAGGTTAATAAGTGGATAATAGGTTGAAGTTAGGATAGAGTTTAGGTTGAGTTCAGCAAAGATTTATTAATTTACTTCTTCTTTCAGCGAAAAGTTGTGATGACCTGTACAAATCAAGCAAGACAACCACCGGGGTGTATACAATCGACCCAGATGGCTTGGGAGCTTTTGCTGTTCGTTGCGATATGGAAACCACTCCAGGGCGGGGCTGGACTATATTCCAAAGACGTGTCGATGGCTCTGAGGACTTTTACAGGAACTGGACTGACTACAAAACTGGATTTGGCAATCTGTCTGGTGAATTTTGGCTTGGGTTGGACAAGATTCATCGTCTCTCAGCCATTGGACAGAATGTACTGAGAATTGACCTCGAAACGTTTGAAGACGAGACAGCTTATGCAATTTATGAATCATTTTCTGTGGGAAATGAAAGTGAAGTTTATATTTTGAATGTTGGGAACTACTCAGGTACTAATAGATATAGTTATAAATTCCTTGAATGCATGTATACAGAAATAATTCCGTCAATCAGATTGAAATGCGTCCTTCGTAATTGATCGATATTCCCACTTAGAATTTTCACAATTGCAAGTGAAATGGCTGCCGTACAGCGAATGTGAGTGATATATATATTGCTACTTTTCAACACGTTTCTCGTAATTTTATTACTCAGCAATATATCGGAAACATTTTCCATCGAAAATTTAGTAGTTTCAAACACAGAGAGCAGTGAAGTTTACAATCAACAGCAAGTATCATGAGCGAAAGTTTTCGGATTCATCACGAAACCGAAACGTTTTAGTACCGCATTCATGTTGCCGTTTACACAAGCAGCGACGAATCCGATAGTAAATCTTGTTGGTTTGGTGCGGTGTCCGGAAACTTTGAATCCGGAAACGTTTGAGGGAACGTCGTATCCGGAAACATTCGAATCCAGAGAAAACTCTCGTGTAAACGGCTTTCCGTAAAGAATCCGAATCAATTTGTTCCGGTGTATGGTCAAACCTTCTAGAAACCATAAGGCTTTTGTTTAAGGTCCCTTGTTACAATTCAAATAATATAATATTAATAAGTTAATACCAGTCCAATTATTTTCAAAGAAATTACGGTGATATCTGATTTACAATAAGGAAAGTGCGTAAAGATATAATAGACTATAACAACTATTTGGCTTTTCACTTTGTGCTAAGAATTCTACTTATTTAAATTTGACAGAAGAAAATATATTTTCATTGTCGATTTATAAATATTGGAAGAGATCTAATTTGCTTATATTGCGTCGGAAGATTATTCCACACATTGATGCCGTTATTACAGAGCGTATAATTTGTTCTAGTACAACTTTTGTGGAGCAATGATGCGTTTCTTGTGTTATAATTATGGATTTCTTTGTTAGTTAAAAAATATTTATTAAAAATTTCTGGAAGATTTTGTAGATGAAAATATCGGAACATAAATAAACTTGTTAAAAAATCATTCAATTTTTACAAGTTTAGTATTATAAGGTCATTAAAAATTGGTTCAGTATGGTCAAAATAGGATTTGAAGGTCATTAATCTCACTAAGGCTTTTTCTGGATATTTACTAATTTTTGAATGTGAGATTTGTAAGCGTTGTTTTATAGTTTCGCTATTTATAGAAATTTTTAAATCACATTTAGGTTTCTTATTTTTTGATCTGAAAGGATCAGCATGGTTTTCGCAGTGTTTATAGATAATTTGTTAACATTCAACCAATCTGTAATTTTGTTCATTTCAACTTGAATAATTTCCTTTTAAGTTTTAAGACAAACATCGCTATACAGTATGTTAGTGTCATCGGCAAAAAATATAATTGAAACCAATTTACTGCAATATTGAATATCATTTATGCACAAGAGAAATAATACAGGACCTAATACTGATCCTTGTGGCACACCGCTTGTGATTGTCATTTCTTCAGATTGTACTCCGTTATATTTTACATATTGCTTTCTATTATATAGATAATTTTCAAACCATTTTTTTGCTATTCCTCGTAAACCATAATGTTCCAATTTTCTTATCAGGATCTTGTAATTAATTGTGTCAAACGCTTTTGACAAATCAAGGAAGATACCAACTTCATTTTATCAACAAAATCAAGTACAGCAAGTTCTGTTGACCTGTTGCGTCTGAAACCATACTGATGTTTTGATAATAACTCAACGCTTAATATATTTACTGTATATATGTGGTTTTGAGTGGCAAAGTAAGTGAACACAAATCGGTTTTGTCGAGACGTGATGTCAAATTTGTGAACGTCAAAACGCCAGGCCTAAACTTTTCACTCCTATATACGCATTTCTGGTACCACATTCATTTTAAAGCATATGGTCAGTACATTTTCACTGAAACTACAGGATATGCTTTTTGTGTGTTTCTTACCAGATTTTTTAGTTCTCGCATTCGTATTCATCTTTTGGCAATTCAAGTTTTGCAAGCCTAAAGGCCCTAGAAGTTTCCACTTCAGACCATCGTCATTGGCAGGAAATATTCGCGTGTTGTGTATCATTAAAAAACGTGACGTATTTACAACAATTTGATATATAGGTACCGCTGGTGACTCCTTTAACTATCAAAATGGTATGAAGTTCTCAACGAAAGATGCTGATCATGACTATGGAACCGGAAATATAGAAAATTGTGCTCGAACGTTCCTCGGAGCTTGGTGGTATAAAAACTGTCACTATTCCAATTTAAATGGCTTCTATTTTCATGGCAACCACAGTTCTGCTGCTGAAGGCATAAATTGGTATCACTGGAAAGGTCACTATTACTCCATGAAAAGGACAACGATGAAAATAAGAGGAACTTAAAGAATCAGAATAGTCGAAGAAAAAATGATTGTCGAATACGTAACAAAATACTGATTTAAAATGACCTCGTGCACTTAACACTTTTAGACAAATACAAATTGGGTATACGTAAAAACTGGTGTAAATAATACAAAATAGATTTCATTTGTGCAAACAATATTTAACTTGTCCCTGTTTTTTCCATTTCTTCATACAATAACAATAAACAGATTTTATCGGATGTATGGGGAAGATTTTTTGAGTCCCACATCCAAAATTGTTCCCTACCTTAATTAATTACTGTCATCGATGCATCTATGTCAAGTCGAGACGGACACAAGCAATCATTTCCTGAAAAAATATTCTTAATTAATAGTTTTCACTGACTACGACCATATATGGATAATAAAATAAATGGATAGGAAACTAGCTGACGTGACCCAGGAATGTTTTCATTGGGCTGATGGCGTGGTTGGATGTTGAAACCTAGTTGCAAACCAAATTCTCAAAAGACAAAAACGGCATGTTTAGCAATAATACAGCAAAACATTTTAGTCAAAGAGCAAATAAATATAACTATGCCATTCTACGATGAAATCTCTAAGTATTCCCAGTCAATTTTAGCAAATATTTCAAGCACTAAACAGTGAAAAATGCATCGCAAATTTCGTAGCTACAAATGTAAAAAAATACAAAACAAAGACGAAAAACATTTACCTTGAATACTTTGTCGTGGCTTAGGCATGTTTTTAAAACAATTAGACCAGTTTATGCTTCAATATTACTCTTTTAAAGCGGGAAATATAGCAAAACAACAAAAATGCTGAGAACTTTGGTAATACGCGTGACGTCACAGATTGCAACTAGGTTTAGACTGTGACGTCAGGAAGTTTCCTATCCAGTTATTTTACAATCCATGCTACGACGGAGCTGAAATTTGTGAACTTGTAGGCCTTTTCACACTAAACCATCTTGGGAAGACGTTTGGCAAAGAAACGATCGACGACGAATTGGCTATCATAAAAAAATAAATCAGCACGTATGGCAGATGAAATAAAGTTGTTTTAGTTTAGATTTTCAACTATAGTGATACCGGATCATTGAGGAATACTCTCTCCTAGGTCTGTAGAGACAACAGTTTAGAACTGATAAATCAATCCATAACAGGGATGTGGCAATCAAAATTAACTTTGTCTTATTTGAAAGAACTTTTAAAGTTATGTATGAAGACCCTTTACAACTTTTTCGTACCTTGCTTGGTTTTTGAAATATTTTGACCTAAAACAGTGTGCAGTCCGCCATCTTGGTATTATAATTGATCTAATTAACTGAGTTTTTGATGACGTCAAAAGCAGAGTAAACTTGTTAAAACTTCATCATGTGGGACTAAATTTCTACGAAAAGTTTCAGTTAAAATGTTGTGAGCTATAATTAAGTACAAAAAACCTTGGAAAATCGAGTTTCATATTGATATTGACATGTGGTTTGCAAGATAAAAATTTCGCTTTTTAGCCTACTTGTGACGTATGCATACCGTTGCATATCCAAGATGGCGGAATGCACGCTGCTTTTGATCAAAATAAGTCGATTTATTTCGAAAACCAAGCAAGATATGGAGTAATTGTAAAGGAAGTTTATATATCATTTTAAATGTTCTACTAGACTTTTAAATTTTTACTCCAAATTGTAAATTTAAAAATTTCCGATAGTTTTTAAATATTATCACATGCCTAGTTATGCTCTTCTCTTTTAATAGACATTGTTGTAAATCCATTGTATTTTTAAACTAAAGATCGATCAATAAAATCATCATCATCATCAATATTCCCCCAATTACAGCGTCTAGCTACGGCCCTGCTATTTTTAAATATGACATAAGTGCCATTATTTCTGAAACAATTAACCAATGCCCCTGAGTAAAATACAGAGTAAAATAATAAAGTAGGGCACATTCACTGGGGTGCAATGCAACTTAATGGGTTAACACATTGAGTTGCTTTATTAAATTAATAATTAAATTTATTATTAGCATGACAAAATTACTGGATGCTGATTGGTTGAGAGGAGTACAATTATTTCATTAATTGTACTGCAGTACAATTATGAGTACAATTAATGATTTTCCCAAAACAAACAAAATGGCGGGAAGACATTTTAACAAAATACAAATGGGAAATGAAATTGCCCTAGAGGAACTAGATGAAAATACAAACAAAAGCACCAAATGTTGCTTTAACAAAAGAACTAAATGAAGTCTTCGTCTCAAATTTCAAATTAGAGAGTTTGAGCAAGACAACGAAGTACGAAGACGAAGGCATACTTGACAATTTTTGCCGTATGTCCATTATCTTGCGCATACCGAGTTGGACGTCACTGGTGGTTGCACAACGTATCTTCCCATGTGTCGCTGTTTATGAATACTGATCATAAGTCTTGCCCTGATCCAGAAAAAAACAGCGAGACATGAAACTATATCCCGTCTTTGTCCTTCTGCCTTCGTGCAGAACGAGTTTCGCAACGAAATTTGCGAAAGTATTCGTTGTGAACGAAGGCTGAAGACGAAGACGAGATATGGATTCATGTCTCGCTGTTTTATCCTGATCAGGGTAAGGATTTGGGTCACCATTCACAAACAGCTAGACATGAATCTCTAATCTGTCTTCACTCCTGACCCTAAACTCAGAATGTGCAAGGTAATGTGCAAGACAGGCAAAAATTGTCAACGACGTCGTCGTCGTCCGACTTCGTTGTCTTGCTCAAACTCTCTACTGCGAACGGGCATACTCATTACGGGCTGTATGGCCTGCGGAGGAGGTAGCAAAAGCACCAAATTTTGGTTGATAGTCTGGCAGGACTGGGCTATGGCGAGAGAATATATGATGTTGACATTGGGAAGTATCCAATTTTGTCATGCTGATATAAATAAACAAGATGCGATGTTGCTCGTACAATTAGGGATTAATAGTACTCGTGATGTTTGGAAATTTGCCAAATTGGACTCGCCCCGGCGGCTCGTCCAATTTCGGCAAAATTTCCAAACATCAATCGTACTATTAATCCCTAATTGTACTCGCCATCGCATGATTACCTATGCTAATACATTGTCTAACACCAGATGATTTTACTCGTAGAGGGGAGAGTGCTGGGTCAAGGAAGAACATCGACAACAGTGATATCATCTCCAACATGAATCGTCCAACTGGTATATCGGCAACAAAATGATTTTCAAACAAAGGCCAGTCTGTCCATGTCTTGCATCATCACCTTTAGATACACGCATTCTGAATAAAAGAAAAGTCATAAATGGTTGGCTGAATGATTGACTGAAGCGTGTTGATGCAAATTATTGAGTGGAAATTTATATACATTTTATTATAGACCTAACCCGGAACAGCTGTGAAAAATGTAACTTTAGATCCTTAATGGCACTGGAATTGAACCTGTCACCCTGCGATTTCGGTGCAGTGCTCCAACCAACTGAGGTACACAGGTCAGTTGTCAAACTCTAACCACAAGCTCCTCTATAGGGTTAGGTACTGCCATGTTTTAGGTAGCCTGCGAGCAGGCTCTCTGGGGAAAGAGAGCCTGCAAGGATCCCTATGATGATTGCGTGCCGCCCTTCAATTATGATGTCACAGGTCAATTAATAACAACCAATCAGCGCAGACCGGAATACACTACGATATTGTAAACATAAACCGATTCGTTTCAAATTCGTTACAGGTAAACTACGTGAAGCGTTCCTCTTTTGAGTTCCTAACTCATTTGGAATTTTCAATATTAAATTTGCAAATTTGAAAAACTCTTCGCAAATCCCTTGAGGGAATTTGCAATTTTCCTGTCGGCCGTTGCAATATTCCAACGCAAAGAAAGTTCCTTTCAAATTTTCCTAACTTCCTGTTTTAATTTCCTAACTTCCTGTTCTGTTCTGAGTGTTTTCATTGGTGGATTATTTTTGTTGGCCAATTGCAACGCACAGAACAGAACAGGAAGTTAGGAGCTTGTAACAGGAAGTTAAGAACTTCTAACAGGAACTGAGGAACATTTATTTTTCTCTTACAGGTAAACTACGTGAAGCGTTCCTCTTTTGACTTCGTAACTCATTTGGAATTTTCCTCGTTAGCTTTGCAAATTTGAAAAACTCTTTGCAAATCCCTTGAGGGAATTTGCAATGTTCCTATCGGTTGTTGCAATATTCCAAACTTCATTTTAAATTTTCCTAACTTCCTGTTTTAATTTCCTAACTTCCTGTTCTGTTCTGAGCGTTGTTATTGGTCGATTATTTTTGTTAGCCAATTACAACGCCCAGAACAGAACAGGAAGTTAGGAACTTGTAACAGGAAGTTAAGAACTTCTAACAGGAACTGAGGAAAATTTTTTTTGCTTTTAGCAACATTGCAAATTCCCTCAAGGGATTTGCAAGGGAGTTTTTTAAATTGCAAAAGTAATGAGGAAAATTGCAATCAATTTAGAAACTCAAAAGAGGAACGCTTCACGTAGTTTACCTGTAAGAACATTGCAAATTCCTTCAAGGGATTTGCAAGGGAGTTTTTCAACTTTGCTAAGGTAATGACGAAAATTGCAATCAACTTATGCACCTATCAATGTTTTCCCCCTGAGGGGGGGTGCGGGCAACCCAGGGGAATTTTGACATTTTTAAAATTTTGTCGTCAAAATCCCCACTGTTGGGCAAGGAACGGCTGTCAAAATTCCCCACTGTATTTCCTAAGATAACAAGGCACACATATGTTTTCCAATGCGAACATACAGTCTATACTGGTTTAAACTTGGTAAAAATTGAGACACTGTGTATAAAATACCTTTATCGATGAAACTTGATCGTGCTTCTCCGCCATACTTGTTACCAGGCCTTTAATGTCCAAACCGCGCAAATTTTCAAGATGGCGGATGTCAAAATTTCCCGACTCTGGGAGTTGATGCATAGGTCAAATTCCCCTCCCTGGTGCTTCATAGTGTGGTCAAAGTCCCCTGGGTCGCCCGCACCCCCCCCCCCCTCAGGGGGAAAACAATGATAGGTGCATTAGGAACTCAAAAGAGGAACGCTTCACGTAGTTTACCTGTAATAGTTTCGTATACAGACCGCCACTGTGGCATACTAAAAAAGTTAAAACGGCTCGAGGTTTTACAGAGTAATATATCAAGTTGTACTTTTTATTACAATCTGCATGTGTTTCTCCTGTAGGCACAGTAAGTTTAAAGTTGTATATTACCCGCTAACTAATTCAGTTATTTGGAATTGCTTCGTGCTGCAATATATAATATACACTGTATACAGTCTATATATATAGTAATAATATAACTTACTGAAATTTATGGCTTTGGTGAGACATAGACATATATGATATACCATGGACATTGGACATAATTTAATAATATGTTTATAGTTCAAATTTTGCAACAAAAAGTGGATTGCAGTGAACATGCATGTGATAATTATTGTAAACAAAGTGACGAGTAAATTACTGTACATTTTAACGCCGCATACTTATAAATATTAAATAGTCAGTATAACATTGTAAAACAAGCTTAATACACACAATATGCACTGAATATTATCAGAATTCCCAATATTGTTTCATAAAAGAGAAGCGATATAATGCCTTGTCCCTAGGTTTCGGTTTGCGAATTTGTGCAGTCTTTCTCAAGAATTATTCTTAGCTTAGGAGTCAGACAAGCCAAGGACACAATAAAGCATGCAAGCTTTTAGTATTCGTCTTTATATGAATACTATATTAATTTACAGTAAAAAGTCAACCAGGATCAAAATACATGACACTTTTATCTCTACATTGCCGCAATTCCGAAGCTTTGCGTTGCTCGGTTTTACAAACGGGAAGTGCAAGTTTATGGAAGCTTGTCAATCACTTCATATGAATCAGTTATCAACCAATCAGAGCACTGCGTCCAAATATTGGACGCATGCACCGAATCATCATAGGGATCCTTGCAGGCTCTCTTTCCCCAGAGAGCCTGCTCGCAGGCTATGTTTTAGGTTATGGGTAAATATGAAGTATTTGTTGGCATACTGGTTAGGTCTAATAAAATGTATATCAATTTCCACTCGATAATTTCCATCAACAACACACTTCAACTATTGAATCGAGCGAGATGCTAACAAAATTTCAATGATTGATAATAGACAGCAGTGGACAGACTCACTGATAGGCTAACTTAGGGAACATTAACTAAATTCAAAGCCACAATGCTACATCACCTTTTTAGAATCTCCAGCGGTTCTCCATCATTTCGTTTCACACCACAGCATGCATATGTCAACTGTTGTTAATACACATCTGAAAGAACAATTAATATTCCATAGTATCGATAGAATATTTAGTGCATATATACTTTCCACCTGTGGTTTGATTTACTGGTTTAATTCCTGTAATATGCATCATTATTTGTTAAAATGAGTGAAATGTTGCACCTGGTACAGAGTGCTTCCAGTGTAGCTGACTTTCAGTACCAATTGCAAACGTCAGGTATAACATGGTTGTAATATTGAAATGATTGATATACAAACATACAGTGTATAATCTATACATTACAATACTGTAATCTAAATTATTGTTACTTGTCTGAGCTGTTGGAATCACTGGTCACTAGGGGCTTATATTACGAATGGCCTATGTGTTAGTGAATATAGTGGGCTTATACACAGGGGGTCTATACCGGGGGGAGGAGGGTTATATTCTAAGGTTTACGGTATATTACTATCCAACAGTTTTATATATCCTAGCTGAATCATACAATATAAACACGGTTGAACCAGGGGCGGCGCTACAGGGGGGATAATCGGCTAATCAGCTAATCGGCAAATTGTTATCTCAGTCGGCAAAACTGGATTGGCTAAAGATAACCACTGAAGAAACCAAAATTGACCTCCTGAATAATTGAATTCAAACCGAATATCACGAATAGCATGCATCAAAGAAACCACACATGCAGCAATGCAAATTTTTTCGAATACAGTATCTTCACTTCTGGCAGCTAGTCCAAAAACATAATATTATTGAAATCATAATTAGGTAATTAAATTTGTTGTTGTTGTTGTTGTTGTTGTTGTTGTTGTTGTTGTTGTTGTTGTTGTTGTTGTTGTTGTTGTTGTTGTTGATGTTGTTGTTGTTGTTGTTGTTGTTGTTGTTGTTGCTGTTGTTGTTGTTGTTGTTGTTGTTGTTGTTGTTGTTGTTGTTGTTGTTGTTGTTGTTGTTGTTTTTGTTGTTGTTGTTGTTGTTGTTGTTGTTGTTGTTGTTGTTGTTGTTGTTGTTGTTGTTGTTGTTGTTGTTGTTGTTGTTGTTGTTGTTGTTGCTTATTATACTGTTCTATAAAAGAGGCAAAAAGTCGGTTTTCCACTAGCGAATTTTCTCGCACGAAGCGACCTTTTTCCTTTGTCGGTATCACTTATTACGTCAGCAAGACGTGGCAAAATCAGTCCTCGAAAACGAGGTCGGCAATCGGCAATGCCGGGCTAAATGCAAATTTTCGCATTTAGCCAAATAAACAATATTATTATTATTATTATTTTTATTATTATTATTATTTTTACTATTTGTTTATTTGTTTATTCTGTTTATTATTACCTTAATTCAACCAAAGTAAGAATTTTTTATGCTGATAGCTTTTAAAATGTCAGCGATTATAGAATTCGATTTGTAGTTCGATTAACTGAACACACTACGGTGTAAGGTTTAAAAACTGACGGGTATTGTGTATATACGTTAGATGTTTGAAGATCAAATTTCGCGCGTCTGGAGTTAAAATTTGGCTCCAACTTTCGAATTTTCCGGCTGGAGGTAACGTTCCAGTTATATTCCGATTTCAATGATTCATAAATGCGTGATTAAAAGTGCTCCAAGACGTGGAACAGATTTTAAGAAATGCCGAGATGTGCCGACCTAGGTCAGATTTAGGTCGGCCCTCTTTTGCCGACCTCAGTTTTGACGGGTTTGACTTTTCGAGGGCTGCAAAATGGATGCCGACAGGAATTTTGGGTTTTCTGATTATGCGTGTCTCAGAATGATGCAAATGCCATTTCCGGGATTCAAATTTAAAAATTTTCCGTGCCTACGGCACGAGCCTCCCCCCCGAACATTTCATAGAATGTCCGCCACTTGCACACACGGTGGCTTA